CGGGTGGGGGAGGGAGGGAGGGAAATCGGGCCGTGGCGAGGGGTGCATCGGTGCCGCCGCACCGTTCACACACAGCGTTCGCCTCCCGCCTCCCAGCCAATGGCATGGCAGCAGGCTTGAGCGGCAGCTGGCCAGCCAATGGCTGACGGAGCGCATTTTGTCTCCGCTAAGTCTTACGCTGCGTCTTACTCAATTATATATAAGGGAGAGATAATGATAGTTTTAATACCAAGTTCAATCTCACAGTGACCATATAACTAGATAAAGCCAAGGTATTCTTTCAGGAAACAACAATAGTGCAGAGAAATAAAGTCCCAAAAGTCTCAATATGTCTCACTCCTTTAGTATTGTAATTCCATGGTCCAACTAGACGTACATTCATCATGGAGTGGACTCAGTTAGTTTCTTGCAAATCCATATAATCCTGAAATCCATAAGCCATAGAGACATAGAGTCTGGATGCAAACTGCCGCGTTTCGAATGATTCTTTTTCAAAACCAATAGGACCCAATCTCAGTAGCGACACATACAGAAGCCAGTTTATTCAGTCACAAAGAATTATCATGGTGTTTTGTACTATTCCACGTACGTTGGTTCCCCTTCTTTTTTTGTTTCCTTCTTCACTTGGGGGTGTGGTGGCGGAGACCTACAAGGGGGGAGGGGGAACGTGAGCCTGTGTGAAGAGGAACCGCTTGGAAACCGTGTTGCTCCACACCCCTTTCGGTCTGTTAAAATGATTACTGGCATTCTTCTGTACTAAAGTGTTTCCAGCTTGCCTTGGAAACCACTGTGGATAGAAAGACAAGGTGCAGATCCTCTCAGTAAATAAATAAGGGATTCCAGGGGAATAGCTCCACCCTCAAATTTACTCTGCGTGTAGCAGCTATATCCCAGGTCAGACCGTCTAGCCTGGCGCTGTCTGCTCTAACAGGCACCAGCTCTGCAGGGCCACTGGCATCGGAATCTTTCTCAGCACCTGCTACACAAGGTAGCTGAACCCAAGGTTTGCGCTCCGTGCGCCAAGCTGGTGCTCTGCCTCTGTCAGCTCTCCAGTTAAGACACTCTCCACAACACTTTTGGCTTTATTAGAGACATGCTTACTACAGGAACTGGTTCTTTGTCAGGACGGAAGAAAGCGTGTGAAATTCAGAGGTTTTAGGTAAAACCCAACGCACCCCACACCCCATTCATACATCAGCATTCAGCCACCCCAAAGCTCAACCCCCACCCACCCACCCCCGGCTTCTGAGGGTCATGCTTATGGAAAGTCCGAATCAGGTGGGGAGGCCTTGATGTCAGAGGCCCTAACCCGTTCGTTATGTTCTGGCCTGAAGTCTTTCCACTTAATTAGATAGTACAACTGGCCTCTCTTCAGTTTAGAATCCAGAATAGTTCTCCACCTCCTGGTGGGGTTTACCGTCGACCATAAGAGGGGGAGTCCAAGGCGAGAGTCCAGGGTCCCTCTTCAGTAGGCTGAAGTGGAAAACAGAGCTAGCACCTTCTCGCGAATCCCTGTATTCAGCCCTGCTCTGCGGAATTAGATTAGGACCTCTTCGGGCCAGCTTTGCAGCTTAGCTGCCGTGGCTTTGAACTCATCGGAGTCATCTTGCACCGACCTGGTCCCCTGGTGCAGAATTCGCAGTCGGTTGCGGGCTTTCTTGAGCTTTAAAAGATCCTCGAACTGGGGGTGCAGAGCCTGCATGAAGGTATCAATGTCTCGCAGCTCTGGGGCGGCGACGTTGTAGAGCCCCATGAACCAGTCGCTGCCCTCTCCTGGAGTCGGGACCCCACATAGTCAACTCTCTGCTCATCTGACATGGGGGGAAAAAAGGAGGCCCCATTCCTGGAGCATTTTCCTCACTTGGGTGGCGAAGAATGCCGGCTTCCCCAGGCTGCCATCGAAGGTGGCCTCCAGCGCGTCGCGGGGCCGTTCTCGTTCAGGATCAGGTCTTCGGGGAGCCGGAGGGCGCTCAGGTTCGCCTTCAGCTTTCTCCTCCTCTGACTCTTCTGAGTGCTCTTTCTCCATCAGTTCCTTCATCAGCTTACGTAAATTCTTGACCAGATATTGGAAGCCTTCCTTCGGCTCGGACCAAAGGCTTGCCTGGCCCCACTCAGCGGCCGAGTCCTCCTCCCGCTCTTCTGCCTAGGTCTGGGTCAGCATGGAAGGTGCAACCAGCACCTCTCTTGCTCCATCCTCCCATGGGTTCCACGGAATCCCGGGGTACTCACCAGCCATGGTGGGTCTTCCCAACGATCTGTTTTGGGGTGTTTGAAGAGGACATGCTTCTTTGGCTTGGCGCCCATAGACTTATCCTCTCCCTTCTTGTCGGGGTCGTGCGTGGGGTTCTCAGGCTCAGACCTGGTATTCGCGCTTGCCCCTCCATCATCGTCTCCGTTCCCCATGCCGAGGAGGATTGGGGTTGCGGGTAAAGAGTAATAGAGGAGTGCTGACAATCTGTCACCTCCCCAGTTAAGACACTCTCCACAACACTTTTGGCAGTGATGCTTTATTAGAGATATGCTTACTACAGGAACGGGATCTTTGTCAGGACTGAAGAAAGCGCGCGAAATTCAGAGGTTATAGGTAAAACCCAACGCACCCCACACCCCATTCATACGTCAGCATTCGGCCCCTAGCGTTACTATGACAACCCTGACAGATATAAGAACATAACATAAGAACATAAGAGACGCCAATGTTGGATCAGGCCAAAGGCCCATCTAGTCCAACACTCTGTCACACAGTGGCCGAAACTACCAGGTGCCATCAGGAGGTCCACCAGTGGGGCCAGGACATTAGAAGCCCTCCCACTGTTGACCCCCCCCCCCCCCAGCGCGATGACAGAGCATCACCTGCCCCAGAGCCCCTATCTATCCCTTGTGGCTAAGAGTCACTGATGGACCTCTGCTCCATATGCTTATCTAATTCCCTTTTGAAGCCGTCCATGCTTGTAGCCGCAGCCACTTCCTGTGGCAGTGAATTCCATGTGTTCATCATTCTTTGGGTGGAGAGGGACTTCCTTTTATCCATTCTAACCCGACCGCTCAGCAATTTCATGGAGTGCCCACGAGTTCTCAGGCTCAGACCAGCTTATACGGAGACTCCAAGGCCAAACCTCATGAGAACAGGCCGAGGGGTGCCACTTGTGAAATGGTTAGGGCTACTACAGGCAAGCACTCAACCCACATGCACTCCCCCCCTCAGGAACTCCCTCCCCCCAGTACATGGCAAGGTAAGCCGTGAAGCAGAAGGAAGAGAAGCGAAACCGAAACCTTGACAGCCTCGTTGCCACAGCCTCCCCATCTGGATCTGTGCATTCTGTGCTCTTGGCTACACTGTTGTTATCCCAGGATGATCTTGACTCCTGCTGTTAACTGCCTCCTGAGCCGGCCTTGGCGGGGAGAGTGGGGTAAAAGATCAATCAATCAATCAATCAATTAACCTCTTGATCAGTTTGTTCCAGTCTTTGACCCACATTTTGAACCTCTGAACAAGTCAAAGGCTCAAGTGACTCAGTGGGGCAGTTATTCCAGAACAAGCATCTTGTCTGCCTTCATTCCCCCCCAAGTTCCTTTCATATCACTGCGGGATAGTCGTCACCCGGCTGCCCCTCGCTGCTGTTGCAGGCTGCTGCACAATGGAAGATGTTTGTGGGCACAGTCATCAGGAAGCAGACTGATGCGAAAGGACAGGGATTATCTCTTCCCCAGTCAACCCACAGCAGTGGGGAAGTAATCCCCCCCCCCCGTCTGATCTCTCTGCTGTTCATTTCTCTCTCTCTCCCTCTCACTTTATAGTGCTTTAAGATATACGGGCAAGAGCAGGTGACCTGGCCTGAGGCAAAGCGCACCTGTGAGGTTCAGGGGGGCACGCTGGCCACCATTTCCAATCACATGGAGCAAGGTAAGGCACGGCAAGGGTGCTGTGTTTACATGCCAGTGTGCTTTGTGCCTGGTCTTCTCTTACCTCTGGGAGTTAACACATTTTGGCCCCGGCAGGTGAACATCTAATTCTAATGGGAAAAGTTCCATAAGGGCACAAACAGGGATCCCTGATAGATGATGAAATGGTGAAGGAATGCTGGGGGGGAAATGTCCTTACTGGAATAATACTGGGCAAAACCAAACCTGTTCACATTAGCCAGAGTAATCCACATTAGCCACAGTAATCCACGCAGTGGTCACCTCCAGACTAAACTACTGTAACTCACTCTACACAGGGTTACCCTTCAGGCTGACCCGGAAACTCCGACTGGCCCGGAATGTGGCAGCGTGGGTCCTTATGGGAACCCCGCAAATGGACCATTTTCAACTTGTGCTGCACGAGCCGCACTGGCTCCAGGTGGAGTGCCGGATCAGGTTCAAGGTTCTGGGACCCACGTATCTTTGAGACGGCTTCTCCTGGTACATCCCCAGAAGAGCACTGTGCTCTGTGCTCTGCAGATAAGGACTTACTGGCGATCCCTGGCCTGAGAGACATCCGGCTGTCCTCAACCAGAACCAGGGCGTTTTCGGCCCTGGATCCAGCCTGTTGGAACGCTCTGCCGAACCACATCTGTGCCCAGCAGGACTTTGTGCAGTTCCACAGGGCCTGTAAGGCAGAGATGTTCCGCCGGGCCTTTGGTTGAGGACAGCGACGGCTCCCCACCTGTTCCGGCACTCCTGTTCCTCACCTCCCTCCCCTGCGCAGCAGCGGCACAGTCTGAAGTCGCTTAGCACCATCTAGTTGGGCCAACAGTTGTGTTGTAACCAATGTTCCCTCTAAGCTGTGGAGTCTTGTGAGCAAAAATTCTACTTTGTGAGCTGCTGACATTAAAGTTGTGAGTGAGCGATTTGGCTACTGCCAAATCAGTTAGCTCTGGAACCATCATTCCTGAGTGAAGACAGAAATCTGTGAGCTGGAGGCTAAAAAACTGTGAGCTAGCTCACACTAACTCAGCTTAGAGGGAACACTGGTTGTAACTATTGTTTTAACTGTGCATTTATTATTGTGTTTTTGTTGTTGTACACTGATCTGAGCCCTGATTTATGTGGGAGGGTGCGCTAGAAATTTATTTATTTATTTATTTAATTAATTAATAATGGGTGGGGGGGTTATGCCCGTATCCACCGGCAGGCCTGTCTGTCTCATCCCCAGTACCTGTTCTGACTGCTCCTCTATGGTGATGTGAAGCAGTAATGAGGTGCAGGGTCCCTCTCAGGTTGCAAGGCGGCGTTCCCTTTGCCACGGGGGTAATCAAGGCCCAGGCATCTGATCCTTGAGAGAAAGTGCCAGGATTGAACTCCCACTCCTGGTGACAAAGCATCGTAAGCTGGTGGGGAAATTCAGTGGGACGTTGGGTGGAATTCAACCTCTGGCATCCAGCTTCTCTGTGTACTCCACCGCTTTCTCCCGTCACATGCCAGCTTTACCTGCAGGCTCTTGCCATTCCCTCCTTGTAGCTTTTATCACCACTCTTCTCCCGAATACAACCGTTGACCTGTGGATCGGCCTCCATGATGCCAAGAAGGAATTCCAGTGGGTGGACTCTGAACCGGTCAAGTATATGAACTGGGCCCCTGGTGAGCCATCTGGCTACGGAACCTCACCAGCCAATGAGAAGCCGGTGAGCCAAAGTCCCGCACTTCCCTCTTGGGAATTAACTCTGGAATTCTGCATGTTTCCATCTGGGTGGCTTGTAGATTGCTCTCAGCGCCTGGCAAAAAGCAGCATGTATCGATGAACAAAAGCGAACATCCAACATTGCAGATGTCAGTGTGTTGCTGGTACCAGGACAGTGTGTCTGCACCAAACTGTTGTAGCAACACGTGTAAATCACAGTTTCCCCAAAGGCTAGAAGAAGACCCCCCCACACAGCCAGAGCCTTTGCTCAGCCACTCGCCTGTCTCGCAGCTTTGAATTCTGGCCCGGCCGTGGCCTCTGTAACCCTCTTGCTTCTGTGCCCTGCAGACCAACTGTGCCATCCTTTGGCATAGCTTCCCACCCCCGTTCACCGGTCGCTGGGATGACAGGAACTGCCTGGAGGAGAAACACGCCTTCCTCTGCCAGAAGAGCAAAGGTGAGGGGTTGGGGAAGAGGGAGGAGAAGAGGGAGGAGACGGCTGCGGTGCGGGGGGGATCCGTCTCTGTGTTCCACAGGTGACGCCCATCGCTTCTGTCCCTCTGTTATAACAAGACACCAGTGTGCCCCAGTGTTCCCTCTAAGCTGAGTAGGAGGAGAAACACGCCTTCCTCTGCCAGAAGAGCAAAGGTGAGGGGGTGGGGAAGAGGGAGGAGAAGAGGGAGGAGACGGCTGCGGTGGGGGGGGGGATCGGGCTCTGTGTTCCACAGGCGATGCCCATCGCTTCTGTCCCTCTGTTATAACAAGACACCAGTGTGCCCCAGTGTTCCCTCTAAGCTGAGTCAGTGTGAGCTAGCTCACAGTTTTTAGCCTCCAGCTCACACATTTTTGTCTTAGCTCAGGAAGGAGGGCTCCTGCCCTCTCCTTCCAATCCGACTGGTCACATGGCTAGATTTATCACAGGAAGTGCCTTGGCGGTTCTCCGGAGTGTCGATTATTTCAAACGTCCCTTGCCACAGAAAAGGATGCAGGTTTGTTTATGGCTGAAAGCTTAAGAATAACATTATGCCAGGCTGGTGGCAAAAAATGAAAGAAAACATTAGGAGAAACATTTGAGCTTCAGTGCGCTTTTGATTTGAAATTACACTGCTTGTGGCACTGGAGGAAAGTCCCAAGGGGTAACTACTGCAGCACACAAAAGCTCTGATCCTTGTCTTCCCTCATTCCCCCCCCAGACCCCACTCTTGCCCCTTCTCCAGCAGACGTCCCTCCTGCTGCCAACTCCACCCTCTCGTATCTCAGTGGTGTCTATCGCATCCTGACGAAGCCGCTCACGTGGCAGGAGGCTGTGCTTCTCTGTGAGAGCTTCAACGCAAGCCTAACCCACGTGATGGAACCCTACACACAGGCCTTCCTCACCCAAGCAGTCAACCGCGTGCGTGGCCCACTCTGGATCGGCTTGGCCAACGAGGAGGTAAGGCTCAGAGCACCAGTTCAAAGCCGGGCTTGCAAGTTGAGGAAAACAAGAACACACGTGGTCAGTGTCCCCTCTAAGCTGAGTTAGTGTGAGCTAGCTCACAGTTTTTTAAGCCTCCGGCTCACACATTTTTGTCTCAGCTCAGGAAGGATGTCTCCAGAGCAAACTAATTGATGCAGTAGCCAAATCGCTTGCTCACAACTTTAATGTCAGGAGCTCACAAAGTAGAATTTTTGCTCACAAGACTCCGCAGCTTACAGGGAACATTGGTCCCTTTAAATGTAAGGCAGCTTGACCATGGAATCCAAGCTGATATTGACAGAAAAGTAACAGGAGATCAGAATTAGATAGTGGGGATGTACCTGGAGATCACCTGTTCCAAACCATTTAATTTAATTTAATTCATTTAAAGCCGGTGAGAGTTGGTGGACAGGGAAGTGGGCAGAAGCTGTGTGGGGGGCGGGGGGCGGACAGGTCTCTCTAGTGTAACCAGATCAGATCTCAGAAGCGAAGCAGGGTCGGCCCTGGCTAGTATTGGGATGGGAGACCACCAAGGAATACCAGGGCAGTGACATGGAGGCAGGCCATGGCAAACCACCTCTGAAAACTGTATCGGATCACCACGAGTAGGCTGAGTTCACAGCAAAAACAGAAAGAAAAACCACTGAACCAAAATTTCATACCTAACAAACCATGGGAAAGCACACATAAGCCTTCCCCATCAACAACTGGCCATGGCTGAGTGCCCTTCCAAAAAACGGAGATCCGTATCGGATCACCACAGGTAGGCTGAGACTTCACAGCAAAAACAGAAACAAAAACAACTGAACCAAAATTTCTTACCTAACAAACCGTGGGAAAGCACACATAAGCCTTCCCCATCAACAACTGGCCATGGCGGAGTGCCCTTCAAAAAAACTGAGATCCCACCTCCCCTGTGAATGTGTGCCCACCTTCTTGCTCTCCCAGGGAGAGAACACTAGATTGGCTCCTCCCTCGAGGGGAAGGGGTGCTTCAGTGAGCCATGATGAGGGGAATGCAGTCGTGGACAACACTCCTTGAGCCCCCTCCACAGTGAATCACCACCCTGGCTATGTGATGCTTTGGGAAACTCCAGAGACCTGTGCATGTGCCTGTTGCCTTGGGGCAGGAAGGATTATCTGCTTCATGTGCTGTTTACAAGCAGGGGTCATTTCATAGAAAAAGAGGTGCAGGAGCTCATTAGAATAACTCATTAGCATATGCCACACCCCCTGACATCACCGGAAGTGTGTCAGAAGGCAACACCCACCGCTCACGCTCCACTGGACTCTTTTGGATTGCTAGCTATTGCGGGGGGGGACGTGCAGATCTGCCCTCACAGAGGAGCACCAGGCCCTCCTGTCTTCCGCCGTCCTCTGAAGTTTGCTCAACTTCATGTTTGTCGCATCTATGACACTGTCTAACCATCTCACCCTTTGCCGTCCCCGTCTTCTTTGACCTTCGGTCTTTCCCAGCATCAGGGTTTTCTTCTCCAGGGAGTGCTTTCTTCTCATTGGGTGGCCAAAGTCTTTGAGCTTCAGCTTCATTATCTGGCCTTCCAGGGAACAGTCCGGGATGATTTCTTTTAGGATTGACTGATTTGTTCTTCTTGCAGTCCAAGGGACTCTCAAGAGTCTTCTCCAGCACCATAGAGAGCTTGTACCTGAATAAAAATTGGTCTTAAAGGTGCCACTGGACTGTTTTCGACCAGGGGGCTGGGGGAGGGGGGGCTCTGCAGCTTACCTGGCTGCTTCTTGCTCTGACTGAGGGCTGCTGGGAGCTGGGGGTGGGGCTTGTTGCATGTGCCCACCCCCTGGGCTCTTTACTGCCGGAGCTCCGCTCCCCTGCGCTCCTGCGGGAAATGACCCCTGTTTACAAGGGCCTGTCTGGCTGCTCGTCCGGACCTAGTCCAATGTGGCGGTTGTCCTTTGGTTGTTTTCAGGGACGACGGAGTTATGTGTGGTTCACAGACGAGACTCTTTCCTACACCAACTGGCAGGATGGAGAGCCACAGCAACTCGTGGGATGCGCCTACATGGACGTAGACGGGACCTGGAGGACTGCTGCGTGTGACACCAAGCTGCAGGGGGCCATCTGCAAGAGGAACACAGGTGCTTCTGGGGTCTTCGCAGAGCGGGGAGGGCAAGCCAGGGGTTCTCGAATGTAGGAGCCAGAAATCCCTTCTAACGAAGTGTTCCTTTCCAGGGCTCCCTTCCTCACACAGGTGGAACTATAACGGCAGCTGCCCTCATTCTGTAGAAGATTCCTCTTGGATCCCCTTCCGGAACCACTGCTACGCCTTCCACATGGAGGTCATGGTGGGCCCAAAGGAAGCTGTGAAGAAGTGTCAGAAAGGTAAAAAGTCTTCAGAAAGCTCCACGCGAGCATGAGCCGGGCCGCCGTCTCAGAACGGAGTTTTCAGGAGGGTGGTGTTCTGGTCATGCCACTTCCTAGTGCCACCCGTGCCCCTCGCCCCCCGGCTGTCATTGGTGTACACAAGAGCAAAGGTGGGCAGGGTTGGCCGTGTTCAGAATCCCCAGATCTGGGGGGCCTCATTTTCATATTATGCCGGTTGCTTGCAGTGTTCCCTCTAAGCTGAGTTAATGTGAGCTAGCTCACAGTTTTTTAGCCTCCGGCTCACACACTGTTGTCTCGGCTCAGGAAGGAGGGCTCCAGAGCAAACTGATTTATGCAGAAGCCAAATCGCTGGCTCACAACTTCAGTGCCAGGAGCTCACAAAGTAGAGTTTTTGCTCACAAGACTCCACAGCTTAGAGGGAACGCTGGTTGCTTGCTAATTATCCAAATCAAGGACCAGTAACCATGTTATCTACCTTCCCCTGTTCAGTACCGCAACAGAGTGAGGGAGAGATCATGAATGGCTTTTCTTGACCTGACTGCTCACACCCTCCTCTTGGCTAAGAGCGAAAAGACAGCAGGTTCTCTGACCTCTGGGCACGCCCACACTTTAAACACCAGGGTGTGTAACATGCCATCCATTGCAGTAGTGCCCTCCAGAGGAGGATTTAGATAAAGTGGAAAGGGTCCAGTCCAGGGCGGGTGCCCTTCTCTTTCTGGGGGCAGGTGGTAAACTGAGATCAAGGCCACATTGTGAGGCTTGTCACTGGGAACGAGCTAAAGTTCTGCCACTGTGAGAAGGCCGTCCACGACCTGAACTCAAGTGCCTCCTTCTCAGGAAGAGAGATTTCCATATACATGTAGAGCAGAGAGATTTCTGTAGCATTAGAGAATTCTTTTGCATCATCGATACACATATTTTCAGGGACGTGTTTATTAATTCAATGTGTTTTATTTTGTCTACAGTTAATTTGCTGTAACGCGCATGAAGGGTTCAGGGGTCGGTGTTGACTTGCTAGACTCACTAGGAGTGTTACTGTCCAGGCTACTGTTTACCTCAAGATTTACATTTTCTATTTACACTTCTGATTAGAAATGTTTAATGACAAAGAGTATTATTTTGGAGAGAACACCTCTTTCCCCTCCTTCCTTGAGTTTAATAAACCAGACAATGAACACAACATGCCTGGAGGACTTGAGGTCCTTAAAATTGCGTGTTTGAGGTGCATCTACTTTATGTTAAAGCAGTATGTTTATGTTAGAGCCAGTCTGGTGTAGTGGCTAAGTGTGCGGACTCTAATCTGGGAGAACCGGGTATGATTCCCCCACTTCTCCACTTGCACCTGCTGATGTGACCTTGGGTCAGTTGCAAGCTCTGGCACAGCTTGAAAAAGAGCCGTTTCTGTCAGATTTCTCTCAGCCCCACCGACCTCACAGGGTGTCTGTTGTGGGGAGGGGAAGGGAGAGGACTTTGTAAGCCGCTCTGAGACTCCAAGTGAAGGGCGGGGTATAAATCCAATCTCTTCTTCTTCTAAAATAAATGCAGCTTTAAGGATGTAGGTATTGTGTATGTGTGTGTGTGTATTTCCTATGTCTTAAAAATTTCTGGAAATTTTACATCTCTGTGTTAATTCCGCTGTTTCTCCTCCCCCACAGTTGGCGGTGCCGTGCTGTCTGTACAAGATGAGATGGAAAACGTCTTTGTTTGGGAACACCTGCAAGCCTATGAGATGCCATCCAAGGGGGCTTGGCTGGGTATGGCCTTTAACCCCAAAGGTAAGGCAGGTACTTTCTTTGTCCTTGAGAAGCATGTGGTTAATGGGAGGGAAGGAACTGGATGTGTTTGTGACAGGTGAATGTCTTCATCTCAGCAGTTTAACTCTAACCCAAATATGGTCAGAGACAAATTTCAATGAAATTTTAAATAAAGGCAAATAGTGCGGCTTGTGCTAACAGAAGTTGAGAGATCTTGTCTAGCTTAAGACAGCCAGCAGCACACTAATAGGGCTGTTTCTAGAGAACTTCCATGTTGTTGTTTTTTGGGGGGGTCTCATATAAGCTTAATGAACCTCATCACTGGGTTGGAAGCTGTCATAAGAACATAAGAGAAGCCAATGTTGGATCAGGCCAAAGGACCATCTAGTCCAATACTCTGTCACACAGTGGCCAGAAATACCAGGTGCCATCAGGAGGTCCAGCGGTGGGGCCAGGACACTAGAAGGACACTGTCAATGTGTAGCTGGGGAGAAATTTCCCCCTCCCACAGCAGCACTCCAATCCTCGCCCCTTATGTTGCTCCTGGGGGTTTTCTGGGAACATCTGTGGCTGCTTCAGCAGGGAAGTTGTGCCTCTGGGCGTGGAATTTAGATGGATCCAACCCAGTGTGCCTAACAGAGCCCCCTGTACATCTCTACAGTGGTCCTCTGGATTTCTCCCTGGCAGGCTGCCGGCAGAATCCTCTTGGTGTCTCCCGCCCTTTATGTGTATGTGTGTGTCTGTGTTATTTCTAACATCATAAAATTGTGCCCCCCCCAATAAGGATCAAAACAGACAATGATGTGGATGATCCATGATCTTTTCAAATTTAAGAGCAACTTCTGAGGCTTCCAGATAGAAATAGCAGCACTGTGAGTGGAAGCACTTGTGACCCTTCCCTACCAGATAGTTTCTCCTGGTCTAAACGATGTTCTCCACCACAACAGTGGTTAGTTAGCCCCTTCTCCTTGGGGCAGGAAAGACAGAGATCCGTATCATGTCATGAATCCGGAAGCTGCAGCTAGTGCAGAATGCTGCGGCCAGGCTGTTGATGGGTCTTCCTAGTAGGGACCACATCCAGCCTGTGCTGAAAGCGCTGCACTGGCTGCCAATAGTGTACCAGATTTGCTTCAAAGTGCTGGTTCTTACCTTTAAAGCCCTATATGGTCTGGGTCCAGCTTACCTAAGGGACCGCCTTTCCTCATATGTTCCCCCGTGAGCACTTCGGTCTGGGACTCAACATCTCCTGGCAATCCCAGGTCCCAGAGAGGCCAGGCTGGACACAACCAGGGCCAGGGCTTTTTCAATGGCAGCTCCTACCTGGTGGAACGAGCTCCCGGTGGAGATCCAGGCCCTGCGGGATCTTATGCAGTTCTGCAGGGCTGTAAGACGGAGCTCTTCCACCAGGCGTACGAGTAGGAGCCGCCACTACCACCATCATTTTTGTTCCATCTTGCCTGGCCCTGGAAAAGGGAACATCTGTGTCTCCCTGGAGCAGATGACACTGAGGAACAGAGTACTAGCAATACTAGCAACAGAGCAGTGAAACACGCCATCTGTGAGATAACATCTAGAGCACTTTGTTAATAATTGGTTGTAATGTTTATTTGTATAGTGATGGTTTCTAAATGGTTTTAAATATGTTTTATATTGGCGTATGCCCTTGTAAGCCACCCTGAGCCCGCGTAGCGGGGAGGGCGGGGTATACATTGAATTAAATAAATAAATAAATAAATGTCTGGTTCTCCCACCGCGCAGGGCTAATAGTGCTGTGGGGGCGGGGGATTAATAGGATCCAAGTTGGGGAACCACCTCAGTCTTGAGATCTGGAAGGATCTTTGAGCTCACAAGAGGAAGAAGCTGCAATTTATTTGGGCTCAGATCGGACTGCAGACCCTGCTGCTGCTGCTGCTGCTTTATGAGCTTTACTTACCCGAGCATCCTTCGGTTTTGCGATGCCACTGTTAACCCTTCCTTTGTGCAAGCTTGTGCGCCATAGCCCCTCCCCAAAAGCCCGTGAAGACAGTTAAAATGGCAGGCAGAACTGTCACTGAGGCAGGCCGAGGGCAGGGCCACTCCCCGTGACTTCGCTCCCGAAGCAGGCCTCCCTCCCTCCCGGCGTAGAAGTTCAAGGGTTCTTGTTTCTTTTGGATTGACTCCTCAGGAAAATCTTGGAGCTGTAACAGTTGAGTGAGCCCAAAGAGCCACACCCCAAGTGGGTGCCTTCGGCCGGCGATTGCCTTCATGCACTTAACACTTGGAATTCACTGCCACAGGAGGTGGCGGCGGCTACAAGCATGGACGGCTTCAAAAGGGAATTAGATAAGCATATGGAGCAGAGGTCCATCAGTGGCTATTAGCCACAAGGCAGAGATAGGAACCCTCAGGCTGGGACAAGGGATGCTCTGTCTTCTTGGTGCTGGGGGGGGGCAACAGTGGGAGGGCTTCTAATGTCCTGGCCCCACTGGTGGACCTCCTGATGGGCCCTGGTCTTTCTGGCCACTGTGTGACGGACTGTTGGACTGGATGGGCCTTTGGCCTGATCCAACATTGGCGTCTCTTATGTTCTTATGCTGTTCAGATTCACCACTTGTGCCCAGCCAGGGTCCTTCCAACTTGACTTCTGCTCTGAGGAGGTTCATTTTGGGGGAAAACAGTGGTTGGTTACTTGCTGCTTTCCAGTGGGCAGGCTGTCTGTTCCTGGCATCTCTCTGCCGCTCACCCACAGTGACCAAGTCTGCCTCTCTCCTCTCTGCAGGGGGCACGCTTGTCTGGCACAACCACGTGGCTGTGAACTACTCCAACTGGGGACGGCCAGACGCGGGACCGAACATGCTCAGCCCAAATAGCTGCTACTGGATACAGAGCAGTGACGGGGCCTGGGGCCTGGGCTCCTGCTCCAATGTCACTATGGGGGTCATCTGTAAGGCAGCTCGAGGTAAGCCGGGTGGGTGTTTGGGGGAGAGGCTTCTAAGGAGCGGAGATTCAGACCCAAGGGCAACCCCGAGGAGCCAGTGGTTTACTCGGAGTCCTGTAGTGTAGTGGTGTGTAATCCATGCTGGCGCATGATTTGGCATCTTCAGAAACTCACTTTTAAAAAACCCAATGGCTAGTACTTACGGCCACCCCGAGGAGCCAGTGGTTTACTAGGAGTCCTGTAGGGTAGTGGTGTGTAATCCATGCTGGCGCATAATTTGGCATCTTCAGAAACTCACTCTTAAAAAACCCAATGGCTAGTACTTACGGCTATGCGTGAAAAATTTGGAAATATGAGGGGCGTGCCTGATGAAATCCCAGGAGTTGGTGAGCAGGGCTGGTCTTGGGAACGGGGTCAGACGATGACAGCCCAAATGGGCTTGGGGAGGGTCTAATATAATAAATAAATAAATAGATCTCATTTTAGGGGCTTAGTGGAAATGTGGCCACCAGTGTTCCCTCTAAACTGAGTTAGTGTGAGCCAGCTCACAGCTTTTTAGCCTCCGGCTCACACATTTTTGTCTGAGTTCAGGAAGGAGGGCTCCAGAGCAAACCAATTTCTGTAGGAGCCAAGTGGCTCGCTCACAAATTTAATGTTGGTGGCTCACAAAGTGGAATTTTTGCTCACAAGACTCCGCAGCTTAGAGGGAACATTGGTGGCCACTTTGGCGTGGACGGGTAGATGCCTGGATCAAACAGAGGTGACAGGTGTGAATTATACGATGGTGTTTCTTCTGGTCCCTAGAAAGCAGTCACCATAGAGTAGCCCCAAATGAGCTAGAATGATGAGTTTTACTGGACTAAGTCAGACCAATATAGAAATTTGCAATTCTTTTGGAGTTTGTGGATATCTTCATGATACAAAGACAGATTTCTGGTAACTAGACAGGAAAAGAAGGGAGGGAGAGGAAGAAGGTTGCCTTTTCATTCTGTCTTCCATAAACCCTGAAGGCTCACTCCTTTCTAAATTGGTTCATTAAAAATTATCATTCTAACTTTTGTTAGAATTAAGGGGGGGGGGATCAATTAAAAGTGCAAGAGCATTGATTGTCCTGCTACCTGCAGTTCAGAGAAGCTTGCCTGAGACGGAAAGGGGAATACAGAGTTCAGTTAGAGCACCAATGGCGTGGAAAGACAGGGTGGGAAAATGAGCCGTCGGGTGAATGGCACTGGACACGGGTGAAGGACTGACAGGCTCTTTTTCTCTTTCCCCTGTCCCCAACTTCTTATCCTCTTTCCATGGCAGTGGAAGAAAGCAACTTTCCCAAATCAGGTGAGCATCCCTTGGAAAGCGGGTCTCCTGGTGGCTCATTTCTGACTTCTGGCTCCTTCTCAGGTGGAAACCGCTAACTTGACTATAAACACATGACTTTGCCAGTTCTGTATATCCGCAGTTGCATGTCGTGTTCAGTATTTTGAGCAGCATTCAGCGATTCTAAGAATGTCTGTATATTTTAAAAGGTAATGCCCAAGTTCTTAGATCACATGGCTACAAAATAAGCCTGGGACCATTTCCACAAAATGCCGGTGAAGTTTTGGAAGGTGGGGGTGGGAGTAGGGGAATTACCTGAGCTTCTAATGGTGAATGGATGAGGCTCCCCTCCCCCAACACTAGAATACATTTTGCAAAGAGGAATGATCATATTTGCACAGTCACAGAATATGGCTCTTTGTAGCCCAAACATTAGGAGCTGCGGTGGCTCAAGTGGTTAAGATGCTGAACTGCAGGCTGTGGAAGGTCGGTAGTTCAGCAGTTCGAGACCCGAGTGTGCCACATGACGGAGTGAGCTCCCGTCTCTAGTTCCAGCTCCTGCCAACCTAGCAGTTCGAAAGCAAAGCCCAAACATTAGGAGCTGCGGTGGCTCAAGTGGCTATCTGGCTATCCAAACTAGGCTGGATTTGTCCAGTTTGCGTGCACTGGTTGAATGTTGACCTTTCTCTTTTCCTCCTTCCCTGTCTTCTGCAGCTTTCCTGGAGAACACAAAGGCCATTGTTGTGGTCATCCTTTCCTCTTTAGCTCTGTGCACTTTGGTCGCGATAGCCATCTACCTGTACAAGCGCCAGTGGATCTCAGAGCAGAGGGCTTTTGAGAGCGCCCGCTACAGCCGCACCCACTCCAACCCCAGCGAATCTGCCGAGAAGAACATTCTGGTGTCTGACATGGAGATGAACGAACAGCAAGACTGATGGTGCGATTGATAGGGAGGGGGAGAGCAGGAGGGAAGGAAGGAGAGCGTAACAAACCACTAAGGTGATGTGAAGAAGAAGCACAAAAGATTTTTCCCCCCTTTGGGAACCCCAGTTCTGGCGTGTGTGACACCAAAAGAAAACCCAACCTGGCCCTACCCGGGGACTTCAGAAGGATGGGAAAAGGTAGTTCATCTCTTGGACAAAATCTCCCTTGGCACACTATGGAGACTGGGCATGATCTTCTCCACTTCTCCTTAGAGACTGAAGACACAAGCGTCCCTTCCGCCTGGTCACAATACCAATAGGGAGAAGAGTCTTGTAGGACTTTCAAATTTATCTCTTGGTAAGAATGTGCCTTGCTATATTGTATTACCTCCTGGAGCCATGTACATAATTAAAGAATGAAAGGCCTTGAGTTGGTTAACGATGGTTTGGCGTGCTGTTCCTCCAAAGTTGAGACCCACTTAAAAGTAGTTTCCCTTCCAGCCACTTGGCCACCATGACAGTCATCCTACTTCAAAAGGGCTGTGGCCATAGTTACACCCTCTTTGGGGGACATTTTGTGCCTACATGTAGTAGCCAAAGGCTGTTCGTGTTCTATAATTCTCTTCCCTTCTTGCTTTAATCCTTTAAAGAAGTGCAATAAGACAGTATGTTTTTTCAGCTTCTGGAATCATATGCCGTTCCGCTGGGGTAATCCAGGTGTGGACACTAGATAACCAGGAGCTGGGGAGAGGCCACCCACCCCGGGGTGATGGTGTCTGATGAAGTGTGGAGCAAAGAGACTTCCACGGGAAATGTGGACCCTGCAAGCGGAATTCCTCTTTGTCCTCGGGACCCAGTCCGTGGGATGGCTGTGCGAAGGACAACGGGAGGCATAGATTTATTTTACTTTTTTTCCCCTACTCAGATAATTATGGAGGTTATTGTACAAATATATAAGAAGAAATTGGTGAGTTTCACTTAAGCTGGATATTAAGTGTTCACAAAAATACTTATCTTTTGCATTTTAATCCTGGCATCTGAAAACTGCCGTAACATTCCATTTCATAGGGAGTTTAGGAAACAATCTCCGCTCTCCCTGAATGCCTTCTGCTTATTTCTGGAGTATTGTTTTGGTTTGGAGAAAGATGTTCATACCTATTGATTCGTCATTTGTTTGTTCAGCACCTTCTTTTTGCCCAAGAGACTGTTTCTGAGGCTGACCCTTCCCCGCCAGGGGCTCTGCTGTGAAATAGGCAAAGCAAGATGCTTCTGAGTATGTTGTACATTGTGATTTTGCCTCATTGGTAAGTAGCCACGGACAGCTTTTCGATTAGACCATAAGCAGAAGCTGAGACGTGAAGGCCCTAAGCCTGTGAACCTTGCGTTTTGCACGCCAGTGAAGTGATGCCAAAGAGGATTGCATCTGAAAACTGCCGTTAACATTCCATTTCATGGGGAGCTCAGGACACAATCTCCGCTCTCCCTGAACGCCTTCCGCTTATTTCTGGAGTATTGTTTTGGTTTGGAGAAAGATGTTCATACCTATTGATTCGTCATTTGTTTGTTCAGCACCTTCTTTTTGCCCAAGAGACTGTTTCTGAGGCTGACCCTTCCCCGCCAGGGGCTCTGCTGTGAAATAGGCAAAGCAAGATGCTTCTGAGTATGTTGTACATTGTGATTTTGCCTCATTGGTAAGTAGCCACGGACAGCTTTTCGATTAGACCATAAGCAGAAGCTGAGACGTGAAGGCCCTAAGCCTGTGAACCTTGCGTTTTGCACGCCAGTGAAGTGATGCCAAAGAGGATTCTCACGCAAGCATACTGTGGAAATGGCGCAGGCATGTAAATCATGCTTCCGGAGAGGATCTCCTCTGAAATGGGCTACAGCGTCCCTAGAACCTTGGGGCACACCACTTGGGGCCTTTTTGGAGCGGAGGGGAATTGTCACAGAAACACCTCTGGACTGAAGGGAAGGAGAGAAGGCCGGCGGGGGCGTTTGTGAGGACCGGGCACAATTGCAGAGCTGAGCGGAAGGGCAGCCTCAGTACCTTCACCCTCCCAGCCCTGCAGCCCTTGCTGCTCCCTCCACTCCTCCCTCAACAATGATGGTCCCTGGAGTTGCCCTGTAACAAGGATTTGGGCTTTATTTTCTTCTTCGGCATTTCTTGTGCTTTCAAGAAAGAATCAAAGAGAACTGGACATCTGACAACAAACTCTCAGTATCGAGGGGAGAAACAGCCATGGAATAGTTTTGAATGACTGGAAAGAAAAGTCTAGATAAGTGCTATTTTATATCAAAATTTTGAATAATGTGAAAAAGTCCTATAAAGGTCGCTGGTAACTTTTATAATAGATCACCTTTTTTGTAAACATTCTAGAAGTCTGAATAAAATTTCATTCTTTCCTTTCTCCCACTGTTTTCAGTGGTTATAGGAAGCCAAAATACTGACTGTTCCCTTCTTGTGTTCTTCAAGTTTACCATCATGGTGCAAGGATGTGTTTTAATCGGTGCTGGGAAGACGGTTTGGGTGGCCCAGGTACAGAGCGTGAGAAGCAATTCCTTTGTGCTGGCTATGGATGGACTTCAGAAAGTTATCAGAAACCTCATGATTAGAGCTTCTTCAGTTGGAGGAAGAAGACGGGTGTGAAAAAGTCAGGCTGTTTTGCCGAGCCACTTTTCTTCCCTGCTCAGGTCATCTACAAGAGTCGGTGTGCAGGTGGGATCTGGGGCCCATTTGTGCTTGCCTGCAAGTCTGGGCTATAGGGTGTGCTTGGCAAACTGCTCTGCTTTTGGAGAGTGAGCACTGGCTGGCTGACTCAGGAGGGCCCATTCCCTTTGAATGCCCTTTGCGAGCCACACCGCGCAAGTGAACTCCCAAGCAGCGAGTTCACCTGGAAGGTGCTTAAACACCCCCAAGTGCTGAGTTCCTGAAAAATTTCGGGAACCCCGAATATTTCCAAAATCCCAATACCATACCGGTCCTGGGACTTGGGGATATCAGGAAATGCCAGTATTGTTGGGGTTCAATATACCATAGCCTGATGTTTTTTGCACATCCCTAGCTGGAACTACTTCTGAAGGACCTTTCTCCATCTCTTCATACAAGGTGTCTCTAGCCTTTTCACATTTGACACCAACAACTCCAGCAGAAGAATAAACTAAACACATTCTCCAAATTTAGCCTGTTACGATAATGAAAATGGCATGCAAATTTTGTGGTCTTTTTCCAGTGAGCATCCTCAGAATAACGCTTAACAATCTGTCATGGTCTGGAGCCAATGTTCCCTCTAAGCTGTGGAGTCCAGTGAGCAAAAATGCTACTTTGTGAGCTGCTGGCATTAAAGTTGTGAGAAAGCGATTTGGCTACTGCATAAATTAGCTTGCTCTGGAGCCATCCTCCCTGAGCTAAGACAAAAATCTGTGAGCTGGAGGCTAAAATTCTGTGAGCTAGCTCACACTAACTCAGCTTAGAGGGAACACTGGACTCTGGACTGCTATTACTGCGACAGATTTAACATTAATTCAACAGTATGCTGAGTGCTGTAATTCAAGGTATTAGCACAGGAATGACACAGTCCTTACCTAGAGAAACACAAGACAAGAAAGATGGTGGTACACTTAATTCCTATAACATTTTCCTGGGAGTAAGCCCCATTAAATATACTTGAGTAGGATTCTGAGTAGACCTTCTAAGGATTGCTCTCTCAGCTTTAAATGAGCTGAAAAGTGCTTATACCAAGGGGTCTAGCATAAATGGAGTGCCTTGTTATTTGATCTACGTGTTTATTATGCGCCCCAAAAGTAACCACCTCTTCTAGCGTATCCCTCTTTCTTCTTTAAAAAGAAGGGTGTTTGATGAGCAAATAAAATATTTCTGTTGGTGTCTTGCGCCATTCAAAGGGAAGATTAGCTTATCAAGTGGATTGTGCTACAGGGCTTCAAATACATTTTCTCAAGTATGCACTGAAATGTCTTGTGACAAGACTTGGTGTACTCTTGAGCTCCAAAGCAAAGTTTGAGTCCGGTCAGGCACCTTTAAAACCAACAAAGTTTTATTCAAGGTATTAGCTTTTGTTTGCACATGCATGTGTGCACACAAAAGCTTATACCTTGAATAAAACTTTGTTGGCCTTAAAGGTGCCTGAACGGACTCAAACTTTGCTCTGCTGCTTCAAACCGACATGGCCACCCACCTGGATCTATTGCAACAGAACAAAGTTTGAGTCCAGTGGCACCTTAAGACCGACAAAGTTTAATTTTGGGTATAAGCTTCTGTGTGCATGCACATGTGTGCAGACAAAAGCTTGGACCCAGAATAAAACTTTTGTCGGTCTTGAAGGTGCTGCTGGGCTCAAATTTTGTCCTGCTGCTTCAGGCCAACACGGTGACCCTCCTGAATCTATCTTGGTCTCTGAGAATGCTCCGTAAAATGATGAAGCCTGGATCTCAGAGCAGCTGTTTGCCATTGCAAAGAGTTGCCCAAAACTAGCTGAAACCATAAAACCCCCACTGGTCGTCACTGCTTCAGTTGTGAGTGAGCTGGGAAGCAGGATACGTGAAAAAAGTTTACACTCTGCAAACTGCTATTAATAACCCATGTTGTTCCATATTGCAACTTAAAAAAAAAGAACCAAACCAGAGAAACAGCCAGAGCAGCCCCAGACCCTTAGAAGCGTTTGGCATGAACGGGAGACATTGAACAGGATGTTAAGCCAGGCAGGGGTCAACGTGAAGGCCCCCTTGAGCGTTTCCTTAGCCAGTGTTCCCAGAATTGGCTGGACCTGCAAAAGAAGAGAAAATAAATCTCTGCTTAGAACACTTTTCTGTGTAAAATGACAACAGCCCCAAGGATATTCAAATAATTGTTATTCAGAATTACAGTGAAAGCCCAAATGGCCACCATAAATACGACCAAATGGTCCTAATATAACTGGCTGGTCCTGAGACATATAAACCAGGACATTTTTTGGTAACTGTTATTTTTGGACAGAAATTGTGAGGACAGGACTTAAGGCAGTTAAATCTGTTCCATCTGCAGAAGAGGAGGGACATCCAGTCACAGATTACCTTAAGGAGCTGGGGATAGCTGCTGTACGACTGAGGCACAACGCAGATGTGATGGGATATCTGTGACCGGATCGCTTGATCTTATTTCCTTAAAAGCAGCCTCTGCGGCTTGCTAATTTGACTGGCCATGGCAAATGGGGAGGGAGGACAAGTATTTCCTTCCCATGTTGTTTCCCCAATCTAAATCTCTCTCTCACACACACACACTGAGGGAAAGAATACAGGCCGTGTGGGGGACGTAGATTCTGGGAGTGGACTTTGCATGTGCGTGGGAGGGGAAGGTTTAGTACCTCCCCCCCCCCTCGATTGCTTCCCTATTAAATGGGCAGCATTAAAGTGAAAAGTGTTTGGGGTGGATCTCTCAAACCACATCTCTTTTGTCCCTCAAAGTGCAGCTCCAGAAAGTTCTAGGCCAGGCGTCAGGAGACCTTTCGAACCATGAGGAAGGTAATGAGTAGGGTTGCCAATCTCCAGGTGGCACCTGGAGACATCCCTGTATTACAACCAATCTCCAGCTGCATAAGCTCAGTTCCCCTGGAGAAAATGGCTACTTTGGAGGTGGACTTTATAACACAGTACCCGGCTGAGGCCCCTCCCTTCCCCAAACCCCATCCTCCTAGGGCTGCCAAGTCCCCCCGGGCTACAGCTGGGAACCCCACCCCAGCATGCGCGTCACCAGAAAGTGAAGTCATGACGCCGGGCACACTGGGGGCAGGGCCACGACCATCCAAGGGGGAAACTTTATGTTTCCCCCTTGGATGGTCGTGGCCCCACCCCCAGCGTGCCCGGCATTATAACGTCACTTCCTGGTGATGTGCGTGCAGTGCGCGCACGCTTTGTGCGTGCATATGACGCCGGACAGGAGTCCCCCGCTCCCGACGATTTTCAACTTGGCAACCCTACACCCTCCCCAGGCTCCACCCCTTAAATCTCCAGGTATTTTCCAGTCCAGAGCTGGCAAACCCTAGTAATGAGGCACTGTGAGCACGCATGGTGGGAGTGCTTAAGCAGAGGTTAAAAGAAATTTTGCTTAGGGTGGTTAGATTGACTCAGTCTGAGCCTCAGGAGGAGGGCCGATAGCCAGTGGTACCCCGGAGAATGAAAGTGAAACTCAGGGACAGCTTGTTCCTGAAGGGTGGTGTTCGTAGGAGAACTTATGCATTGAAGGTTAACGTTAGAGCTCCTTCATCTGTGCACTTGCAAGCTGCAAGCCGTGAATCATAGAATCATAGAACTGGGCAGAGGTCATTTCGGGGGGGAACGCGGGGGAACGCAGTTCCCCCGGGTTGAGGTACGGGGGCGGGGCACATGACAAAGCCCTGCCCCCTGCTTCCGGCTGCCCCGC